ACTAGGCTGTGCCTTTGTAATATTACTCTGATGGGACTGAGGATAGAAGATAACCGTATAGTTAGAGCAGTGGTGCTCATTTCTGCTTTTCATTAGAGTGATCGATGAAACTTTAAAGAATACAGATGCCTGGGTCTCATTAAATTAGTCTTTGGGGTTGGAAATAAACATCTACTGTGCAGCCACTGTGGAGAATTCTGGTCCAGGTACTCCTTTGGGAGTAGTTTCAAACACACTGGTGTGCCCATTGGGGCATTCAGAAACCAGGCTGGGTAGACTTTTGCTTATTTATTATTTTGAAAGATTGGGACACATGTGACTACTACATATGCCCTGCATTGAATCAGTAAAGTGAATGATTTGTTATAGTCCCTCCCCTCCCATCTAACTCTGAAAGCTTTGATTTTTCTCATGGAAGCTACTGATCAACATACTTACTTTATAGTGTTTAGATTTATCATCTCAATCAAACACTATTCACCAGTGAGTGCACTTCTTTAAAAGAGACCAGACATTCTGATTTATGGCCAACTTAGGATTTTCTTTGTCCTGCCATTTTTATTATACACATGGTAATGGAAGTCCACTATAATATTATTTTTAATAAAACCTACCAGGCAAACTTAGATTTTAGATATAAATACCATGTGGAAATAGATGAGAGAAATATACCACTGAAAATTATTTCAAGGTGTTTTAAATTTTTATTGAAATAATTTCCTTTTGTTTTTTCCTAAAGGATTATGTTCTAATAAACCAATCATTTTCACGGGACTCATTTCTAATGTAAAATGTGTATAAAGGTTTTCTATGGAGTGTGTCTTTGCTTCTATGATACGAAAAATAGGATCTGAATTATCTGAATCGGAATTTACCTGCAAAATGCTCTAGACTAGAACACACCATTTTAAATGCTAAATTGAAATCCATGACAAAATGTTCAGAAAGAATATTTTTAATTTAATAATTGTATTAAAGGTGTTTTTTTATTAAAGCAGAAACTGATCACCTTTTTTATTATCAACTAATATTTCATCAAATTTCATCATCCCCTATATTCAGATCATCCTAAAATATCATCCTAAAATTTGAATATGAAAATACAAATCTGAAATAAAGGCTTTATCTTTTACAAATGATTAAACATAAAATACGTATCTTCCTATATTGGACTTCTGAGATACATGTTTATGTTTCAGAAGGTTTTAATTGATATCCTGTGCCTTCTGCAGATGATGGTAAAACTCTTTGAAGCTAGGAGTACTGTTACGTTTGATTATTGGGTCTGAATAAAGGGTTTTCACTGTATGTCTACAAACACACGCTTACGTTTAACTCAGTGTATTGGGCAATTTTGATCTGTAGACACAAGAGCCATTTATGGTGTAAATGATGGAAAAATGCTTCGCATGTGACTAAGGCCCATCTTATTAGAAGGTAAATGTTACAAAAATATATAAATGCACTTTTTAAATGATCTAAAGCATTCATCTTTGATATACTTTTCTGCATGAAATCGTATTTAAAAGCTACTTTGCGGCAGCAACGTTCTTTTTTGGTGACAATTCAATATTCTGTTCTTTCTGTGGGTGTTCTGTTTGTTTGCAGTCAGATGAGTGAGCCTCATAGCGGTTTGACGCTCAAATGTGCCAAGTGTGGAGTAGTTTCAACAACAGCTTTGTCAGCTGCCACCGCCAGTAACGCCATGTTAGTCCCGATCATTTACATCTTCTTGTTACAAATCTCGTACAGTGCATGTGAGAAAATGCTGTGATGGAAAAAAAGTCATGTTTGCTAATATTAGAGCTAAGAGCCTACTTAAGTATTTGATTAGCAACTGCTTACGTAACTATTGTGAGATTATCTATTAAAAAAAAAGTAAAACTATTATTATCGGCTTTGTGGTGTCCGAGTTAATGGTCTTGGTACCACATGCAATAACGCTTTGCTGATCGGGGTTTGGGTATCACCTGGGGTGACGTGCGGCTATGTAATGTGGCTTTCTGTGTCTCTCAACAGGGCATCTCTTTGGAGCTCCTGTGTGGTGTTGCCCCTTCTGGCTCTGACGTGGATGTCTGCAGTTCTGGCCATGACCGACAAACGCTCCATATTGTTTCAAATACTTTTTGCCGTGTTTGATTCATTGCAAGGCTTTGTGATAGTCATGGTCCACTGCATCCTCCGGAGAGAGGTGAGAAATACCATTCTTGTGGAAGACAGGGATGATGGTTAGAAGAGTATTCTCCTTGTCGAAGAATGTGACCTTTTATTTTAATATCTTGATGTTCAGATTAAAGCTGGTCTCCTCTAAAGGTAACTGTTTGGGAATCAAAGCTAAGGGGGAGCTTTAAGGCAGAGTTCAACAGAGCTTCTTCAACTCCGAAAGTGAAGGATTAAAGCAGATGGGAGTGTGCAAGGGAAAGCACACAACCAGAGGTTTTGAACCAAAGAGGCTAGATTCAAGAGAGGCTCTGATGGAGTCCTGCGTGTAGAAAAGTCTGTTAGAGAAACTGGTGGATAAGAGGGTAGAGTGGCATTTTTTAAAAGGTATAATCCATAAACATGATACAATAATATTTCTTAAACCTACTCCCTAACTCGTGCTTCTTACACACAGCTTATCCCCGCTCCTCATATTTAACTAATTGAATTTTAGATGGAAAAACATTTAACGCACGGTTCTTCTGTCTCTGTACTAAATTGTGGTTAAGGTCACTAAAGGTGAAAGATTTAATATGGATGCCTACGCTCAGAAAAGCACAAACAAATATATATAGTAGAGCATGGAAAGAAAGTAATTGTCCCCAAGAACTGTGTTTCTGTAATCACAGCATTTCTCCAGGTCATCGTTGGGATTTATTGTCAGCAATGAGGAAAAAAAGTCATCCATCATCATTCACAAGTCTAGACACCAACTTGCACCAGATCCATCTAAAACAGTGATAAATTTCAGACTTGAGTTGTTTAGGGATAAAATACTGTTTTCCAACCAGAACAAAAATTCTTCTGAGTGTTTGCAAGTGCTGACACAGTGTTTACAAGGTTTATGAGTCATTTTAGCATTTACTCTGGGGAGGGTGGCAACTAAAACACAGTGACACAGTGCCAGCTAGTAATTTTGAGAAAACTGCCTGCGTTATTTTGCATCATCTGGCTTCTTTGAGAACTGTCTCATGTTGTGCACATTGCAAAAACACACATGTGCATGTGCATACACACCACATAGTTTTTACAGTGAGGTGAGAAGGTAACCAAAGGTTTTTACCTAATTTACTAGATGGAGAGAACAGTATTTCCCTGCTACTTCAGTAAAATATACAGATGTCATCGATGAACATGTATTCTAAGAACATTAGATGATGAAAACAGAACAGTGACTTCACGTAGGAAGGGTGCTCGTATTTTTCATCATTAAAAAAATCTCATTTAACGTACAGTTGCCAAGCTTTACCATTCTTGTTGCAAATTTCTACCTAGAATATCAGCAGTAAATGTTTTCCAAGTTTCTAATTATTTATAGACCAAAGTTAAGTAAAAGTTAAAAGGAAATTGAATATTTTAAGTCTGTGTTCTTCTTCAACTGTAATTATACTGTGGGGCTTCTGTATTATCACCAGTATGTTATGTAACAAAACTGTTTTAAGTGAGTAGACACGTGATACATTTTTGGTTGACTATGAAGGATGAATGGTTACAGGTTTTAAGCAAGATGCATGATATATTTGCCTGTAATTTTCAGAAGATATTAATGCTTCAGGTGTAAATGAGGGGGAAAAGTGTCCCATCTAAATTAGTGTCTCTTCTAAGAAATAAGCTTTTTAGATAGCCTTAGGCTAATAATAAAAATATTCAGGTTTTAAAGTGAAAGATATTTTGATGGCTTAATGTCAAATTTTTTCTGCTTAAATGAAGAAAAATACTTGGCACAAAAATTCATTTCCATCAGAACTTTTCCATAGTTGCTAATTGGACTGATAACTGTAAGAAAAACATGATTTATGTGTAATTAAGTCAAATCATGTAATAAATACTTTTGCTAAAACAAGTGTCTAAAAATATGTTTTCTGTATTAATTGGGTATAAAAATATGGATATTGGCTCTGTTACATTTTCAATGATTAATTTAAAATTGAATAATTTTGTAGCTAATAAATTAATAGTTTAACTCTCATCCCAGCACTGAAATGAAAAAAATCACTTATCCATTACAAATACCCTGTAACAAATACCCTTCCTGTGTAAGTACACAGAGAAGATTTCAGTGACAGGGTAATTCTCTTCCAGAATTCCTCAGAGGAAGTTGTTACTGAAAAACCAAAGGAACCTTATGCAACAGGGTTTTGTGAATCCCAGAGACCACCTCAGAATGGGCCTCACTGGATTCACTGAAACTTTGACCTTCTAACTGTGTGTTGCCTAACACTAGCAATGGGTCCATCTCATATTACCTGCACTCACACTGCTCTAACATTAACCACAGGCCAGGAATATTCTCATATTCTCTGTGTCTCCTGTCAACAAACATTCCATAATAATATACCAAAGCCAAAGCTACCTGTAAAATATTGGGTAATGACTCATATCTATTAATTTATTTGATAATCCCCTAGGAGACCCTAGGAATATAGTTGTCTCCCAATTGCTTTTTACACTTTAAAGGTTTTGGGGTTTTTTTCCCACAAAAACTTAAGATATTTCATATGGATTTTTCTTTTTAAAAAATATATAAGCAATGGAAGGAATATTTCCTTCAATTATGAGATAAACTGGATATAGATATATGTATTTCTATTTCTATGTGTTTTTGACCCATATTTACATATTTGGGTCATTTTAGTCTTTAACGGTTGTTCTAATATGAACTCAAAAGGCTTCACCCGTATTTGCAGCCTTCCTGTGCAGGAGGTGGGTGCCCACAGGGGAGGAATATAGTCTTGCAGTTTAAGAGAAGAAAGGAAACAAAATACTGTAAGGTGGCATTTTAAATATGATGTGTATAGGGCTTCATTTATTTTAAAAATACCTTTGTTTTTTTGGGTTTCCAGTTGTAAAACCAAATCATTTCCAGTCAGGAGGGAAAGGGGAAAATTGATCACTATGGTACTGTCAACTCAGTGATATTCCACTACTTTATAAAAGCAAATTGATTATTTGCCTAAGAACTTGTCGTGACCTCCCTTCAGAGTTGACATCTTAATATTTAAATTCCATCAAATTGGTATTCTTGAAAAATGTAGTTTCTTCTGGAGCACCTGTCTCTCCTGAATTGCTTTAGTAGATGCTTCTGATAAAAGAGAAAACAAGAGGGAATAAGAATTTTTTTTAAACATTAAACCATCTGATTTATCACAACACATTACTTTTGGCATCAAAACTACATCTTAGAAGCTAGTATGCCTAATACCCTAATAAGACAGAATCTAATAGAATCTAGATACTTCCTTCATTTATCTGTCATTTCTTGATTAGAATTCATTGGCATTAAAACACATAACGACATCTACTATTTACTATTCTCCACATTGCTATGGAAATTCAAACTACACAAGAGTTATGAAACCTCTGAAATAGTTACTGTTGCTAGGAAACCAGTTTCCTGGAGCCTGCTTATTCTTCTCATCTCCCTGTCTCTGGCTGTGCCTGCCTCTAAGACAATCTTACAGCTTGAGGTCAGAGGGGGAAAATAACAGGACTGTGATACAAAATAAGCTACAATGAAACCCTTTCACTAAATGGACGGAAAAAAAGGCAAGTGCTTAACAGGATAATTTTGTTGGATGGATATGTGAGGATCCTGTGGCGGTTCTGTGGCTTTAATAGCAGGGCCAAGCCCCCCTCTCCCCTTTCCCCTTTCCCCTTTTCCCCGGCACTGGCAGGAGTCTAGGCTGCACCGATGAGGTCTCAGAATCTTCATCCAAACCTGTGAAGCAGTTTTGTAGCAAAATGCTTAAAATAAACATGAACAGCTTTTCCTTTCTTTCTTTCTCCTTCTCCCACTCCCTTCCGCCTTTTTTTTTCTTTTGCCATTTTCCATTTAGTATTATAAATTCCATAAAGAGTACAGATAAACATTTAAAGCACGTGTCAGTGAATGTATAAAACCAATATTCTATCTAATCTAAAACCAATATTCTCCCCAAATAAACCATTTTTAAAAAATAAATGAAACAAATAGTGGTGAAATAACTAGACAGCACTTTGAAAAGACGTCACATGGCATGTAATACAGTCGAGATGAAGAGGCGCATGAATCTCCAAGCTTGACTAGCTTGACTGTTTACAGGGAAATGAGGTGTGACTCATTATTAGGGGAGGGCTTGTCTGTGTGCTCCCTTAATGAGGGAGGCAGGGGTCTCAGTGGGTCTCTGAAGATGAGGGACTGGGGGACGGGAGACTCAGAACATAATGGGGTCCTGGGAGAAAATGCAGTTGGAGGATTAAGTGAAAGTTTCAAGTAGAGGAAGATGGACAGAGGTTCCTGGGCATCTGGCTTCCCTGGGATTGAGCCTTTGGTGAAGAGTAGGGAAAAAAGTCTTCTCTGGGACCACCTGGGGCACATGGAGGCCTAGAGCAAGTGATATAATTCTGGACACTAGAGTGAATTTTTTTCTTAACAGCTATGACTGCAAGACCAAGAAAGACAATGACAACATTTGAGGGCAAAGCATTAAGTGATGTTTTAGAGCTTTCTCACTGGAGCGTTTAGTGGCCATGGTTAAGAAGTCACCATGAGTGGTGTCATGAAGAAATCCAATAGATTTTATAGAGTAGGCAGCGACCCAGGGTGAGGCTGTCATGTACCGATTCTGACATGTTCAGTGTGCTCAGAAGGACACGGCTTGAAGAGAGAAGGAAGTGAGTGGCCAAGAGCTTTGTCTTCGTCAGGTTGAATTGAAAGGCCAATAGAAACTTAAAGATTTTGTTTATGTGTTTTTAATAAAAGAGGATGTGTTTCTGGAAATGAAGACTGGCTAAAGATACTTAAGTAGAGTTGAATTTTATAAGAACAGAGACTGGAAAACAAAGACTGCCTTTAAATAGGAGCATGGACATGCTACAAGCCAGGACAATATGCTTATATTCTTATACACTTTTTCAAAAAAAATCACCAGCCCCCCCTTCACCCAATAGTCATCCCCTTTCTTAGGTGGGGAATATCAATCTCACCTCTCTTTCCAGATCAGGTTTTCCTGCTTTGAGCATAATTCCAGTGATAGCATGAATATCTGCATCATCTTAAACTGACTTGTGGGCCTCCAAATCCATGCAGAGGTTTAGGAGCCTAAGAGCGTGAAATCAGATGAATAAGATGGCATCAGTGAAGAACTGGGACAGACAGACGCAAACTCTGTCATGTCTGCCAGGTCGTATCTAGCTGTGGCTTGCTCTTACCCAAAATTCTTCTGAGTGCCTGGCCAGAGGGACAGGTAAATCCCACCCACCTCACCCACCTTTTACACCCCCAGGGTTACACCTGTCAGCATTGTTAAGCTGGTGACGGGAAGTTAACTATGTCTGGAATAAAGGTTTAAAGTATAAGAAGTAAGACGTCATGAATTAAATTTTTATCATCTGCCTCAGTGAATGGCATGGGCTAAAATGAAATCACTTTGGTAGATGCAGAGGTGCTGGTATCTCATGTATAACTTACCTTCTTTTCTTATTTTCGTGCTAAAGAAATGTCATTATATTTTTCTCAGGCCATCTAGGGATGTTAAATGTCAATCAGGGAGGCTTATGTGACCCCCCTAAACTGATAGGTAAAAGATAAAAAGCTAAAACAATTTTGAGATGAAGTGATAGAGCCTTTAGGTGGTGGAGGATTCTAATGGAAGGTCAGTAGGACTGAAATCTGAAAAACTGAAGTTCATATTTTTCCTTCAATGTATACCAAATGGCAAAAAAAATTTTTGTTTTATTTCCTTTACTTTTCAAGAATTCAGGGAATATTTTAATCATGTGAAGTCACTCATATGACTTATGCTTGTATCAACTGACATAATACATATGAAATTGAAAACAATCTTGTTCATTCAATGATTAAATTATGTGAATTGTAATATGCTTACAAAGAGCTAAGCCATTTGTTTGAATATAAATCAAAAGAAACAATAGTAGACATTAGATACAGAAAAAAAACAGAATTGTAAGACACTCCCCTCCTCCCAAGTGAACAATATCAAATACTTACAAGAATATGACTTAGTTTCTTGTCTTAAAATGATCTCTGGAATAAGAAATCAAGAAAAACAACTGGCAATAAAACTGTCTTCTTACAAGGTGAAGATTTTGGATCTGAGCGGCTCCGTAGCTGGTTACAGAGCCCATCTCAAACAGGACAGCTCTGCCTGGGAGGTTTTTCTCTAAATTGCAAGGCTGCTGGTCATTGCTGGGTATTCTTCCCCAGCAGCTCCAAACCTGGCTTTGACCCCCACAGTGACACTCTGCCCCCCACCTTTAGAGCAAAGATCAGGGGAGAAGCCCTGGCTGGCCGCTGCCGAGGTGAACCGGATCGCCCTCCCACGGGGGAAAGATGGGAGCAAGACCCACTGCTGAGCTCTCTGAACTCGTGTCTCATCCAGGAATCCACCACAAGAAAAGGATTGATCGTTTTCCCAGGAGTTTTTAGGGCAGTTCCCAGAAGGAACTTACAGCCTCACTTGGGTGTCCCGGCTGGACACTTGGAGAAGATAACCTGAGAGCCCATTCTTTGTACTTCACCGAACTTTTGAAGATGTTTCTTGTATTTCTTTCATGTCACAGCTTGACATCAGATTTCCTCAAAGTTCCCTAAATATGCCAAGGCAATTTACGTATCTGTTCGTTGCTATTTCCGCTAATGGTTAAGGTGGAAAAAACTCATAGGCAGATTATTATGAAGAGAGGAAATTTTGAAGTCTAGATTTTAACTGTGCCATAATTTATATTAAGTAATTATTCTACACAGGTTCATTGAAAAATTGTACTCACTGGTCTTATGTAAGTTTAAGAAATGATAATATTTTAAGAACTCAGTTATGGTGTCTAAAAATAAATTTTAAATTAATTGTTGCCTAAAAATAAGTGACTCGTTCTTCACAAAAAGTAAGTCAACTTAGAAAGCTTACATGACCAATATTAACAACTATTTTTCTTCAGTCTTAATCACAAGACAAGAAAGACAGCAAGACTACTATTGTCCAGCATTGTAAATATGACTGTTGACACAGATTTTAATTTCAAGATAGGACAGCCAGATCTAGATTCTGTCTTTCGTTTGTTTGTTTTATTATATTTCCTCCTCATCTGGAATTAAGATTCTTGTCAACATGCTTTTTAAAAAATTTCAGGTGTTCCCTATCAGTAATGTTAATTCACAAAGATAGTCTTTTTTGTTTACCTGATAGAAATGCAATTAGTTATCAAAATGTTTCCAAATAGCTACAGATGTATTTCCTATGTACTCTGTTGCCTGAAACACCCTTTTCTGTTATAAGGAATATATATATATACAGAATGAAATCAAACGAAAATTTTTTTTAATCAGTTGGAGCATTTGGAATCAAGCAAAGTTTCTCTCGAAAAGCTTTCTGAATTAGAAATAACAGAGACACTAAAAGTGTCAGAGAATCTAATACTTTAATTATGGCATTGATATGACTGTTAAAATGACCTTGAATTTACTGGAGAATTATGATTTTCTGTCTTATGTTTTTTTCTGAATAGCATTGACTGATTCATAAAGCTGCCATCATTCTCCAGTGTAGAAATGCCCTTAATCCATTGTCGTATTTGGGAGTTTGGTAGTTTTAGGTATCGATTTGTGTGTGTGTGTGTTATAAAAAAGAGATTTCTTTTATATCTCCTTCAAGAAATCAGATAGTGGATTTTGAAGAGAAACTTACAGAAGTTGCTTTTCTATATTTCATTGTTGGACAAAAATAGCCTTGACAGCTACACTCTGAAGGTCTAAAAAGTAGAATGGTGAGGACCAGTTAAATGCATTGTTTGGTATTACCAAGTGCCACCTTTCATATTTTATCTATGCCAGTATTTAGAAATAGATCTGAAAAAAAATCTCTTCATGTGACAAGCTCCTGGAGGCAATATTTCTAACATTATTTATCTTCTTTTATAAATTTTGCTTCTTGAACAGTTGCTTCAGGACACACACAGAAAATCAGCATATACCTGTTTTTCTGATGTTAGTCCTTCGGCTTTTTTCTCTAAAAACAGATACATTTCTTTGTGGTTTCCCCCAGTGCAAGTTTCTGTTTAACAGAAACAGCGATCATTTGGCAAACACTAGACTCATTACCAATTTTTGATTATTAATTTGTGTTCACTTTATGATCTTCAGCTATTAAATCTTCTTAATCTAAAGAGGAGGAGCCTGGAAGCAATGGTATCTGAAGACTGACTTACCCCATGCCATGTCTCCTTCAGGGGAAAAGCTGGATAATTAACTTTTAAATATTTATCCAGTTCTTCAGGAAAAGGTGGACAGACTAGATTTCACTGAACCTGTACTTTTACTGATGTGTTTGAAAAGTCGCTCACTTCTATCAAGCAACTCCTCCGAGAGTCTCAATCCCAGATTCAGAAATATGAGAATCAGAGAATGGAAGAGATATCAGAGAGAAAGAGTCCCTCCCACCCCTGGATTCTCAGCCGTTAGTGACCCCGTCCCTGGAATGAGAACCCGGGGTGGAGAAACAGAAGCGGACAAAGGTCTCATTATCGAACTGGCTAGCCAGGACTCGGCGGTGGTGACTGAACGCCATGTTACTTTCCAAATCTTGCAATAATAACTTAGGAAATGGGTGGGAGAAGCTGAAAATGATTTAACAGCCTCGGTTTTTTCTTGGTCAATACATGTACTACTCACATGTCACAATAAAACAGCGCATTTTATATCATGGTGTTTGGAAGTTAAAGATCATTATGTGTTTGAGAGTTTCTACGAAGGTGTGTCAGTGAAGTAGAGGGAAGGCGACATTACCTGTGCTTTGTTTTTTTCGTTGAATAAAATGATTATAATAAACTAGAAGGAGAATACCAGTAATGTGAAGTCAGAAACACAGAACATTAGAAACATGACCTTGTCAATGACTGAGACAGGGAGCTACTTGTGACATCTGTCAACAGCTTGTTAGGCCACAGGAGATGAAGATGTGCCGACGCAGAAGAATCACACGATCACAGTAACTATCGACTGATTGTGTGCGTGTTATTTATCTATTCATGTTTATTTTGTTGTTAATAAAGGATGTAATGTTCTTCAATTTTCCCTGAGATATGTTTATTCTTTACTCAGAATCCAAATGTGAATGGATATTAAGGAAATCTGGCTTTGCTAAGTGACTTTTTATTTCCAGACAGTCAGCCAGAAACAGCCGTTTCTGTAATCTTTTGTTTGGTTGTGTTTCGTTTTTACATCAGGGCACATCGCACGTGAAGGGAAGCAAGATACAGTCCCCCTGATATGGTGCCTAACAGGAGACACAGAAGGAAAATTCCAGATCAATTCCAGTCGAAAGATCATTGAGTAATCTCATTGTTCACAGTGCTTAAAGCTGTTATGAAGATTATGCCATAACATAAGAAATCCCCCTTGAAAGACACATATATTGTGTGTGACAGTGGAAATAAATCTCTCCGGCACTAATTATTAGCGTTGAGCCAGACATAGCCACTTTGACAGCTGAAGAGCGCTTTTTGCCCCTGTAGATCGCAAGTGATGCATTTCCTTGGCGTAGCGCAAAGTCCAGACACATCAGCGTTTGCATTAAGAAGTAAACAAAATGGGTAGTAGTTCATAAAAACAATAACCGCTATCTCAGTTGATTGCCAAAAAAAACAGTATCTGGTTATTACTAAGACAGAAAAAAATGAATGTTTGTTATTTTTTTTTTCACAGGTTCAGGATGCATTTAGATGCCGATTGAGAAACTGTCAGGATCCAATCAATGCTGATTCTTCAAGTTCGTTCCCTAATGGGCATGCTCAAATCATGGTGAGCTTTTATTTTCCCTGATTGTTAATTCAATCGTGATTTGTGAAGGGAATAAACAAATCTTCTTATTGGTAAAATAGTACCTAGTATTGAAGTCCCATTTTGAGTGACTCTGGCTTTAGTTCATGAACAGACTTGGAAGTCCGATACCAGATAACTGTTCTGTCTGGATGGCTTAGGAGTCCAGGATCTGTTACTGGTCCCCCCAGGCGTGTTGAGTGTGTTTCTATGCAACACCAAAGAGTATTTTCACCCTTGCAAAGAATTAGGGATAACTATTCGTCCAC